AGTTTCATAGCCTATAAATACGCGTAATTGGAAATATTAAGGGAGCTTAAGCAACAACGACGGCGACGGCTACGAAAACGTCACTTAAACACTTCAGTCGCAATGCTTTAAACTTCATCGCACTTATACCATCTCGTTCAATTCGTCAAACATTGGTAACTATTTCTGGAGTTACATCCTAAAACTCTGAATCGAAGGTCAGGAAAAGAAAGACAAAGTCGTTGTCTTGTGTTCACGTCTCCACAAAACGTGAAATTAGGTATTTCATGCCGTAGTCATGCAGTGACGGCAAAGAAATGTACAAAAAAGCGTGATGCACGTGCAAAGTTGTTGTTTTGCTCAACTAAACCAATTGCTTTATTCGTTTCTTGTTGACCTTGCCATCTTCGTTGCTGAAGCTCTCTAATGATTAAAAACTTGCTCACCTACAGGGTCCAGCTGAATTACCAAAGGAATGGAAGGAAGGACCGGATGGTCCAGAGGAACTCAAACTCAACAAACGACAGATTCTTAAAGAATACTGGGCTCGGTGGGGAAAGTGGCTCAAATACCAACCACTTGATCACATCAGGTTAGTTAGCAGCCGACATATCGCAACGCCACCACTAACCTTCCCGCACAATGACGACTGAAAAACGAGCGCCATACTAACGAGGTGTTACCACCCAGCTCTGGATGGTGCCTCTGATTGGCTGAAATCTGGTTCATAATTTGTTGTTTAGTCTAGTTAAAAAAAAGAACCTTTCTCGAAGTTTCGACTGGCCAAGAGGTAAAAACACCTTCTTTAAAACATGTACGAGGAATCTCGGTCAAAGCCCTTGTTTACCGGTTAATTTAAGAGCCGAGTTTGCATCTATACAACTCCTAAGAATGGCAGGTACGTCAAATAACTGTTTTTTCTCCCTTTCATTTCAGAGATTACTTCGGAGAAAAAATTGGAATTTATTTCGCTTGGCTAGGTATAGTAGTTGCTTCAAAATATCTTCTCTTTTAAATAGACTGTTCTAGCATATCTGTGAACAGGGTATAAACTCAAGGCTTACCTGGGGTGACTAAATACAGTGATTTGTATTCTGTATTTGCATTTTTACACCCAAGACGACTCAAGCCTTAATCTCGTTTCATTGTGTATGCTTCGGCACTGAGGGCTCAAAAGCGGATGCAGTGAAGGTCAAAAGAGCCAGCATCTATGGAAATTTATTAGAACTAAAGAATGTTTTTAGATGTTAAAAAATGCTTTTTAAAAAGAAGAACACATTTCACAAATAATGATTGTTTGTTTAGTTAATTTATGGTGTTCACATTTGATCTTCGTGACCTTTTTATAGTGAATATCATTCATGAAACATAACTACCTATCAGCGCTCGTTGACCGGATTCTAAACAAATCTACGCATTCGGTATGGAATGTTTAGGGCCGAATCGCAGACGTCTCTCCTGCAAAACATCTCCTCCGGCGGGGAGCGAGGAGAAACGGATGTATTCACGGACTAGAAGAGGACATGTACTATTCTGTTTTATTATAGATTGTACTTACTATCTGTCTTTTTATTAGCTAAGAACCTACAGCTAATTTTGGAAATCGGCACAACCTACAGATTAATTAGTTATCTGCAACCAGATAACTGACTAATCTGTAGGTTGCGCTCGCAATGCATGATTACCATTAACAGTATATCAATGCAGGTTCCCTGTAAAGGTGTGTTTGTCGCTATTTTCTTCAAAACAATGCCGGGTCGACCTTGATTATTCCGGATAAAACAAAAACCTCATCCAATAATTGTTTAATATATGCGAGACGTTGTATCTTATCAATTTCTTTTTCCTGGGTATCTATATTTAGGTCAATACACTGCCTGGCTTCTTATGCCATCATTTGTTGGGCTACTGGTTTTCTTGTACGGCATAATCACAATGAATGGACCTGATAATAGACCTGCGTAAGATGCTTTCAACTTGTACACGTGAAATGTTTAAGCTTGTTTGTTAAATTAATTGCTGATTTTGTTGTTGATGATTTCTCCTTTATCCATTCTACCCCAAGTCCGTTTTTTCTTTTTGTTTTTCTTAATCGTTCGTGTGTTCATGTTAGATTCGTGTCGATTCTTTACACATTTTTCTGTGGCAGCTAATTTATTCGCTTATTGTCTTATTCATTCTTTCATCCATCTGTTTTATTATAATCATCCAACAGTTCATAACCCTTCAATTGATTTTAATCCTTGTTCCATTTGTCAATTCCTTTATATGATATTCCCGAGCTACCCTAGGAGAGCCAACTTTTCCTACATTTCCTCACAAAACCTAGCGAACCAATGACATGAGTTGGATCAGCAAGAAGGGTGACCCCCCTTTTGTCCATTTTAAGACTTTTGCTCGACTCGATGAAGGCGACACAATTAGAGCATGCGCGAACCCTCTTGACAGGCGAAGGGGTCAAACTTTCCCCATATATTAACACTCGGTAAAGTTGACTCGGCTGGGAGGGTAACCTTTTTTTTTTCGGAACACCTTTTCTTCACATAAACGAGCTCTAAGTTGAAATTTTCTTTGCCTTTCAGTATTGACGTGTGCGAAAGTCCTCCACTAACCTACAAAATGTGTCCATTGTGTGACGAATCCCTTGGCTGTCACTTTGTCGATCTACATGACTCTTGTATGCTTGGAAAGGTAGGCAATTAACCTCTGCTGGTTATGATCTGCAAATACAATACATCAATGTAGTACGATACAATACAACACAATACAAAACAATGCAATGCTATGCAATGCAATGTTATACAATACCAAGTATACTGCCTTGGGGCACACCAGATGTAACACTGAACCAGTCAGATGCTTGACCCTCAATCACTACACGCTGTTTCCTTGACGTGAGAAAATCCCTTAACCAATTTAAAATATGAAACCAATTTAAAATCTAAAATCACCGTCCTGTTAACCATTTTTGTATTTTTGTTCGATTGTATATGTTAGCATTAGTTCACTTGTATCAGTTATGTATGGTTACGAACTGTGATTAAAGATTAGAGAATACAATGCAGTGCAATCCAATGCACTGCAAAGCAATGAAATGCAATGCAGTGCAGTGCAAAACCAGTGATACAATACAATACAATGCAAAGCAATGTAATGCAATAAAATGGGCAGTCCAACAAAATACATCATAATGCAATGTTATACAATACATTAGAATGTCGTACAATACAATGCAATCCAACACAATACAATGCGCAACCATGCATTGCTGAAATAGTGTTTATTCAATAAATAATGTACTTAACAAAAGGTATACTTCTACCCAACTGTGTCTTTTGCAGATTTCCTACTTATTTGACAACGCAGCAACCGTCTTCTTTGCAGTTTTTGTCTCTTTCTGGGGTAAGAACTGATTGTGTGAGATAATGTCTGCATGCTGTATAGATCTATTTAACTGCATTGATGGTTTTTAAAACTGCACTGTGTTTAAGTCCTTTTTGCTCAACCAAGACGTAAGAAATAAAGTATGTTTGTTGCACTATAGCTGTGTTTTTCCTGGAGTTCTGGAAAAGAAAGGAAGTCACTCTGGCCTATCACTGGGATGTGCTGGAGTACGAGGAGGAAGAGGTAACCATAATTCTAATTTTATTCAATTAC